TCCTGCTGATAACACTCCAACAAATCAAGTATGTTCCTCTGAATTCACCAAATACCACCCAAATTACTAGAACACAGTATTTTCTGATAAATCTAGTTATGATCTATCACTTGGTGCTGTCTCTCAGATTAATATGCAGTCTAGCATTCCTTGATCTATGTTCTTTATCACACCCATTAATTTTGTGAAAGCAATCACTGAGTCTTCAGACTTTTGTCCCCAAAAAAATCTCAAAAAAGGTTTCATCTTTTATTTCCCACATTGCATACTTCCACACTGCCATGATATATCATTGATCAGCAATATGTAAGACAACACACAGATCCCATCTTCAGTGCTTCAGATCCCAGGGAGGCCTATACAGATAAAAATTCTCAAGCGGGAAGTAAGGACCTTAATTCAGGCCGAAACATTAAAGCATGTCTCAAGCCAATCCTTCAGACATTTATTACCTGCACAGTATTTGTTAGATCACCAGTCAACAGGACTAAATTAAGAAGGGACATCTTTGGCCTTGAATTTCCTCCTATGCTGTAATAATAAACATTTCCCCAACACTAATTTCTGAGACTGGATGACAGGCTGACACCTATTTTTCCCCTCTGTTTATTTTTCCTGTTCTCACTGGGCTCCCTTCTAATCTCTGCTGCCCGAGCTGTTCAAGGCTGCTCAGAGTGAGAGGAATGAGTGTGGCTGCTCTTCTTCATCCTCATCCCTCTCATTAACTGATTGTCAGAGACATAAGCAAGGGAAAAAGGGCTTTTTACAGCAGCTTCAATAGTAAACCCAAATGATTCACAAATTTGTTTCATTTCTCACCCTCAAGGACAATAGCAAACAAGGCTTCAAGATATACAAAACAACCAATGGTAATCACTCTTAAATCCCAATTAAAATTTCAGAAGACAAAATATGCACCAATAATCTTTCATCATTATGAACTTATTTGATGTTACTTTTTTTTTTTTTTTTTAAAACAGGTGAGGGGAATTTGCTGTACCGTGTATTGCCACAAGTGAGGCTACATCCTTAGATTCACACTTACAGACATCATGCTCTTGAAGAATAAAGGGAAAGTAAATTACTGTATTTGTGTATCTGGGGAAACAGTGACAAGCCACCAGTCCTAGAGTTCATTTATAGAGAGTACAGGTACTGGCAAAAGAAAATGTCTCTATTCTGCTTTAGCATGACGAAGAGTAAAGTGGGAAGAAAAAGGGATCTCTCTTCTTCATTCTCCATCACAACAATCCATAACAACATTGATATAAGCTATTTCAACTCAGTTTCAAACATATCTCAGAGCACTGGTGATAAGCACATCACAAACTGTTTTTCAGTGAAAACACAGTATAGCTTTAATAACCCTTTCCATGATAAGACAAGGTTAAATGACAGCCAAAACAACAGGCTTAGGACATTTTAAAAGGTCTTCATCTACCTCCACAAGCACATGATTAAGAAGTTTACTTTCTCACTGTTCATGCTCCTAAGTGTTGAAGAACTGACATCTATCACTAATTCAGCTATATTCATCCCCCTGACTAGTCTCTTGTCAGCACATACGATGCATAGACTGCGTTCTAATACCATGCTTAAACTCTGCTCTTAATAGGGCTGGCTCTGAAGCCTGACCACACATCATACTATATACTCCCCACATACATGCTTTAGCTGCAACTTCAAGCAGCTATACAATCCCCAAGATCTTTGCAGGGTTGACCTCCTGCACCTAAAAAAATAACAGGTTTGGTTTTATTAGATAGCTGAGTAACCAATGTATATCTCATGGTCTGTTCAATTAGTTTTTATGTAGATGATTCACAGATTTTTTAGTCCTGAAGTTAGCTTTTATGAATTAGCTGTTATAGTAGAATTTTAAATGGCCATACAAAGGTGAGAAGCATCAATGACTCCACTGACACCAAGTCCAGAACTGGAACTACTGGGAAAATACTACAGTCACACATCAGCTTGCTATCCACAATGCCAAGAGAAAATGATTTCACAGCTTCCAGATCTAAATTGGTAGCTTGGTGGCACTTCATAGCCTGGTGTCTTACTACATAGCATCTTCAATATCATGCAGAGCTCTGCAAGGTATTTCAATGCATGATATAGGACATGTTATAACAAAGGACAACTGCAACAGTTCATTTCTGTTTTCATGGTTCTATGCACAAGATTACTTGCTTTTGAATTCTATTTATAGCAACTTCTCTTGATCACAATGTCTGCTCTTGAGGTCATTAATATCTTACCTTCCTGATAGTTCGTACTTTTCTTTTGATTAACATGTTAAATAAGAAGGAAGTTTCACCTATTAATGACATGGTTCTCAGATGCCTCAATGAGATACTTATTTCTCCCCCACCAAGAATTAGTGTATGTAGTTTCTGTGTACTGAACAGTATATTTTCACTGAATTTAAACCATGTGTTAACAAGGGTAATATTTTAAGCAGAGCCCCAGAAAGGGTGGAGCAAGAGAGCATCCATTCAGTCTGTCTAAGCTTAATCAGCTACTGTTGCCATTGTTGCCCTACAGCAGAGACTGCACACCTGAGAGAACAGCTGGAAGAAACTGAAAGGAAGGTGGGAAATACATGGTGGAACCTGTATTTAGTGCTTTATTTTAGTTCAGCTCTGGCATGCGATTTAAGCATATTGTGTTCCAGGACGCACAAGGCACTCCAACGGCTAACTGGAAGCTCAGTCCACAGGACCAGAATAGCCTCAGTTCCAGGGGTAGGATAGAGCAGTGGCATAGCATGTTAATGCAAGATGCACTACCATTTCAGCTACAGGAAATAAAACATTTAAAAGATAACAGAGTTATCAGAATACATGAACTGAAGCAATGCTGATCCATCCTTACTGAAGCTGTGATGCAGTAAATCTGTTCAAGTTCAAAAGAGGTGAAAATCTCTCCTAAAAACCTGTCTACATTATTTATCTATGAGATGAAAAAACCTGCTATTTATAACCATACCGAGAAGTGTTCCAGGAAGGAGTTATCTCTTTGAAGGGAATAAATTAGCTTGTTTTGTGCACTCCTCTGTGTATGTATTCACCTGCTCCATCCCCGTATGGTATAAGGAACGGCATCACTTTTTCCACCAAGTGATAAAGGGAGCCCTGATACTGCTATTATGGGTCTCAAATAATAACATTTAGCAATAAACTATTGATATACGTTTCTTCTAGCATACTATTGCAGGTGCTTTTTATGGAGGAAATTACTAGCCATTTCTAACAGCAGTCCCTCAATTATTTCAACATTTAAATCAAGAAAGAGGTCTGGCCTTTCAGTAGGAGAGCTGGGTTCGTATTTGCAACTATTTTCTGCAAGTATTGTGATTAATTAGAGAAAATTTATAAAAACTCATCTATGCTTTCTGTCAATATTTTAGTAAACATCACTTTAAGATGTTCTCACTGTAAAGTTAAATACATTTAATTTTAAAAATGTAAGTATTTAAATCTTGAAATAAAAAAAATACATACTTATTAGCACAGAATAAACACCTTATCAACCTGGCTGGTAAGATTTTTTTTGGGGTGGGGTGTTAAAAACTTCTATGAGGTAATTAAAATTTGGTGCCAATTTTTCTGTTACATGATATATTTAAGATTTTACGTAAGTAGTCTTTCATCCACAGCATCACAAAACAACTGCCATGCAATATCATTGCAGTTTGTAGATGAATTAGACACAAATCACATCAATAGCCAGAATTCAAAACCTGAAGCAAGCCTGTTCAAAGTTTAACTCTTCATAAAAAAAAAAAAATACGATTCATCCATTTTTAAATAAGCAGCTACATTTTTTTTTTTAACCTATTGAACATTTGAGTTCTCTGGTTTAAAAAACTACGGAGTTGCAATAAAAAAAATACTTTGTTTGCTTATCTGTATAAAATAGCTTTGACCAAAAAAGTCCTATGCACAAAATAACACAAACAAATGTGTTCAAAGATCAGAAAATAATACAAGCAAAGAAGCTCTAGTACAACCTTAAAGTGCAATCTCTCATATTAGTTTTGAAACTAAGAATTCAACAAATATTTTACATGGCTGATATCAGTATTAGAAAGAAGCTCCATCAAAAGATACTGGTAAAGAGCTTTTCCTCAGGAGACACACTGAGTAAGATTTCCCAAATTTCATACTAAGCAGCATCACAGTTAAGAAGTGGCAGAAGCATAACATGTCTCCCAAGGATCCTCTACTATTATCTTGCTAGCTACTCAAAAGTTACAGTTATCTCTGGTATTTCCTTCATAAGCCTACTTCATCATTACATTCTTTTGCAGGGGAGGAAGTATTTCAAGATCCATCCTCACAACTGCCAAAAAACATGAATTCTGAGGTCTCTGTCAACACAGCACACCAGAGAGTCAACTTTTTGAAAACATAGATGACTTCAGAGGCTTTGAAGCATGGATATTTTGAATATCATAACTTAAATCTGAAATTTGTACTTAATAACAACTTTAGCACACAGACAATAGGTTGTTTTAGCACCTCAAAAACTAGCCATTTAAGGAAAAACAGTGTTCCTGTTCCTGAAGCGGAATCCCAGTTTTGCCTTACTGAACCAAACAGTAATAGGGAAGATGAGGAATTCAAATCAGAATGCTCCAATTCACCACAGTAAAGCTGTTTTAACATCAGTATTAAAGAAATGAATAAATTAAAAATCAGCCTCTCATTTCACATTTTGTTCTGATTAGTGCAGCTATACATACCGCTGTTGGACATTTGAAAAAGATTATTCTTCTCAAATTTCTTGAAAACACTTCCTTTTATTTCAACGAACTGCAAGTTTTAAAAAGTTAGTTAGTTTTTGTTGATAAAAAAGTGATATAAACAAATGAGACAATCAATATGCAAACAGACATATGATACACAAAGAAGAAGGATGCTAAAAAATTTAGGGTAGCTATATAATAAAGCTACATACTTACATTATTGGACATCATGATGGTAAGCAGTGATTTATTGTGGGAGTTGAAGGCCACATTAAGGGTTGTTGCTTGAACCATTATAAGAATAGCATGCAGGACTGTAGATAGCAGGATTAAGGAAGCATATCTGGAAATAATTCCGCACAACAGCACTGAACAGCACCAAACCTCAAATTTCCTATTCTGCTTCCAATCCAAAGTTGAACAACAAAAAAAACCAAAAAACTTTCTATCTCCCTGTCAACTAGATTTGCAGCAAGACAGTACTTAAAGCTATGTAATGTAACCACAGTGCTTTGGAGCATGGAATAATTACGTTAGATTTTCTCGTTCTAAAAGAGCCCAATGACTTGAGTCAGGAGAAACAGCAATACAACCTGAAGGAAAAAAATCTGAGATAAAGAAAGATTCAGAATTCACCTAAAGATTTCAGAATTCTTGTACTTTCTCCTGTTTTCTCTAAATTAATCACATCTACGGGAATATGTATCTCTTTACAGATCATTTTCATCAGTTCACTGTAAGGTTACTTCACACTAAACTCATCTGCATCCTGAATATGCATGAGTTTATCCCTTCATTTCAAGAAAATGTTTTCAAGCTAGGTGTTTGTAGCATTCTACTAAATAACAAAAATCTCACTGTCTTCAAGACCTGTGACCCAAAATACTCAAATACACATCAGAAATCAAACTTTCCATGAACTATCCAGTTACTGTTTTTCATTTTACTACACATAGGTATTAAAAAAAGCTGTCTACTACTGCAGTGGAATACTATCATGAAGGATGCTTTAAAGCAGGTTAAAAGGTGGTTTTTTTTCAATTCATTTTAAAAACCTGTAGTACTGGCAATCTCACTTTGAAAGTAAATTAAATGATTTAGGAATACTTTCAATTTTTCAAATATATTAAAATAATGCAGAGCAGTCACCGTGTAATTTAATTTACAAAATTTTGCAATTTATTGAAGAAAAGGATACACACATACAGCACTGCCATGAAGAAGTGAGGAATCACACCTATGTGAGCTCTTTTTCTTTCCTTAGGTTCTGTAGCTGTCCAATAAAGAGCATCCAAAATATCTTGTCCAAATGAAGAAAACAGACGATCAGCCACCTAAACAAGAAGAACTTTTTACTGCCTTAAAGCAGTATTTTTCTCTCTGACACTTAACTATAACCATGTAAGTACAGCTCAATCTAAAAAACTTTTCACATATTTATCATGTTCCATCTCTTGTTCATTCCATTTCCACTCTGGATTTCACAGTGATAGTGTTCCTTTTGTATACTCAGCAGCTTACTTTCCCTCTCAAATTTACTATCCCCAATAGTATTTACAATATATAACCATGAAGTGTCATCTCAGATGCTGCCTTGGAAGACATCCACGTACAGTTCAAACTTCAGCCTTTGATAAAGTAGTATGTATGTTGCATCAACCTATCCTAAATGTTTTTTCCCCATCCCTCTGGGCTTAATAAGGGGAAAAAAAATGATGAAAAGTGAATTTCAAATGTCTGATAGAGAACATTAGCTTATAGGCACGAAGAGGACTGAAATTCAGTTTGGTTTTACTGTTTCCTTACATCTTGGAATAAAGTATACACTCAATACAAATCTCTGCATAAAGCAGAATTCAAAATTAGAAGTACTATAACACAACAGCAAGTGATCAGGAGGGAGCAGAAATTCTGCCAAGAAGGTAAAATCAGTTTCAAAAAAACCTACAAACATCTGAAGCATAACCCAAAGAATATATGCACAACTAGGAAACAATCTAGCAGTAATTCTAAAGATAGGAAGAAAATGGACAGCAATCTGAGCTTGTAATTCAATGCCACAGCAAGAAAGGTCACATGAAGTTCCACCTGTTCTCAACATTTTATCATTAGCAAACACGTAAAACTGAAGATCATTACAAGGAAAGTCTTTTTTTTCTGCCTATACACTACAGTTCAGTAATTTCAAAACTAAGCTGCACAGGACAACAGAAATAGCACTTCAGAAATTAAATTTGGTATCATAAGGCTCGTGTCTGGCTGAAAAAGAGTTATCTTTCATTGTTTACTAACTCAACCAAACTGAAAAAGTTAAATATGAAAAACTCATTATCTATACTTAATAAAGACAACTGATATTTCCTCTTACTGTCTTTCTGTAAGACAACAACTTCGGATATCTTAAAACAACATGTAGCAATACAGAACTAGGTGCATCATGTACCTGCAAATATTGAACCATACATATTAACTAGAAAATAATTCTTCGGACAACATAAGTAAACCTAGATTTGAGATCATTTCCTGACTTTGTTAATTAAGAGTTCTAAAGGTAAAGATACCGAAGGGAGGGAATGCATATACTTGAACTTATTCAACCCAACATTTATTGAAGTTTCCTAAAATACGAAGGCTGAATTAAGACATCTGGTAAAATTTGTTTTAAGTAAACTGTACTGTATGCTACCCTTTAAGCATCATCTATGAAATAAAATGAAAAAAACATAAGCTGATGAATTATTATAAATCTGAAGTTCAAAACCCCATCAGTTGGAGAGATATTTACAGTGGTACTGTTTTCGGCTTTTAAATTTTGAGAATTAAGGTGCTCTGCATTATTTGGTTCCTGCTCATTGTGATGACCCACTGAGTAATTGCACCTGGTGTAGTAACACCAACTACAGAATGCTTAGAGTTTGGTAAGTTTTTGTTCACAATATTGTGAGGGTTTTAACAGATAAAACAGTGGTTTTGCATTCCTTTTTATTTAAGCAGTCCTTGTTTCTTAGCTGACAGGATAGAAAATATTAAAACCCACCACACAATATTGTTGCTTGCTTTTCCAGATATGACTTACCTAAACCCTACATGCCGGCTCCAGGCTCCAGCAGAATTCCGTGGTGAGTGCTGTCACCAGCGTAACGCACACTGGGGCTTCACAAGGAGCAGGAGCCGGTGGGTCTGAATCTAAAAAAGAAAAGTGTCATTTAAGCTAAATGTGCTGAATGCTCCCCTCAGGCTATCTGGAGCACTCAGCACATAATTTGAAGATTTTGCATTCCTCATATCTGTCCAGGACAATATTCCCCGGACTTGCCAACAGCCGAAAACATTAGGACAGTGTAAACATCTCTGTCACTCAGTGGTCTACTTAAATTAAAAAGAATTTCATATTTTGAAAACTTGTGAAAATAAAAAGTTTATTACTTAAAAAAGGCATATTTAACAGTTCCTTAAAAAGCATTACTTGCATTAGTAGCAAAGACTTATAAAAAAAATTCAAAGTAGTTTAAGCAAGCCAACATTCAAACTGCTGAAAGCTGACTATCAACCAAGTTTTTCAGTGGGATCTCATGACATTTTCTGCCAATACTGTGGCTGCAACCTACCATTGTAAAAAAGCCCCTTAAAACACACATGCCCTCTGCTTGGCATGTTGGGTTTCATGAGACACCATGGAAATTAAATACCATTTCCAACTTCAAAGTCTACTGTAATTTTTCTAATTACTATGAGTGGTAACAGACTTCCTCCTTTCCTAAAAAAGGAAACTGAGGCAGCACTTTCTAGTTGAAACACACACTTTTTGGTTCTGCCAAACATAGCAAAGAAAATCAACTTTTCTCCTCTTTGCTCAAAATGGAACTTTCACATTCACAGCTTCCAATTCACTGCAAACACTGCAGTCTTGAAATCATGTGGTAAGCACATATTGCTGTATATTCTCAGCTTTAAGAGAAGTTACAGGAAGTAGTCTTCAAATAAAGAGAAATTACTATTTTGAGCACATGGATTTATTTAGTAAGTGATAAATCTCTCAAATTTATCTGTGACAACTACATATGGATGAATATTTCCCAATGCAGCTAAAATCCACATAGTAACTCAGTGCCAATTTAATATTTGTACATGTTTTTCAGCAAATCTAAAATCAAAGGAAACAAAACCCTATGAATAAACAACTGAGGTGGCTTAATCATTATTAAATATAATATTTATTTCACTTAGGATAATGAAGTGTGTTCCTTATGCAGTATTTGCATATCTTATGAGGAGAGAACAAAAGTTTTTAGACAAAATATTCAGATTTTGCACAAAGCATGGCTCTGTTTTAGCAGTCTTCAGACAAAGGTACAACAGATGTTCAAACAAAGATTAACGTTATTCAGAGACCCTGGAATCCCAGTAGAGTAACTCTTGTGTATAAAGCTCTGACTGAGTCCTTTTAAGAGGCTGTATTGCTAATATATCCTATATTTGCAGGATGGAGATAAGATTGTAGCTATGAAGACATTAGGTACTTTGTGAATCACTGATCACAGAAATGCAATTAAAAAACTCATGCTTTCTGTTAATAACAAAACAGAACCATTTCCCCCCCCAGAATTTATCTTTATCGTACCTCCCAAAACAGAATTTCCTTTTCTTGTTTCACTATATTCACTCAACTTACTGTTTATGTACTCAGGCTTTTGTCTGCTAGCCAGGACTGAGACAGGTCAAGCAGTAACATGTATCCTTGCATCCAGTGAAAGCTATACTTCCATAATGAAGAATTAAAAACCAGATTCCATGTCTTCTACCATCTTCCTTCTCTGTTCTATCTCAGTATCTTATCATTATTTCAAATCAACAGTTTCTACTTTTCTCAATGAGTTCAAAGCCTCATTCATTTCACATTTCTTCTTCTATTTCCAGTTCTCAATTTTCATTCAACTAAATTGATTAATGAGCTCCAGGAACTAGGCAATAAGAAGCAGTATCTACAAAATTTATTTTTCACAAACATGTCTGTTTCACTACATCTAGGCTTATTATCACGGGTGTGTGCAAGTTTGTGAGAATACGAGATGTGCCATATTCTAAGTACAAATACTGTAATACAACAATCATTTCAATATTCTGAGAAAAGCATGCTTGGCATTCTGATGGCAACACTCTTACCTCAAGCATGTTATAGATGATGTAGAGCTTTATGACAGACTGTCCCCTTATCAGATGATACATCATCGAGTAGTCAACATAGTGCATCATGAAGTAGCAGATGACCAATATAACTCCTTTGAGAATGTCACATACCTGAGCAGGTTGTAGCAAACGTCTATCACTGAAATACAAAGGGCAAAAAGTTCCACTAAATGTCATATACCCACAAAATACAAATGTTATCAAGTCAATAGGAATTTACAGAAGCTGTTAATCAAGGATATATTTTAATGTAGTTTATTACTGCCCCTTCCCCTGCCCCTCACTCCAACACAAAATGAACACCAGGATCGTAACACAGTTACAGATCAGACTCCTGAACAGGACTGTATTCTCTTATCTACCACATCCATTTAGTTAAAATATTATATTTATTGGGTAAGAGCTCCCACTTGTTAAGAACCTTCCACATGCATGCCCTTTGGTTTGTAATTTACCTTCCCTCTTCCAGCCAATTCTACTTATCATTTTGACTTCCTCAGTTACAGAAATTGTATTCACTATAACCAAAAGAAAAAGAAATGAAGCAGTCATCTTCAATTTCAGTACAGTGAACCAGATGCTGAAGAAAAGGTTTTAAATGCAATTCCGTATCTTCTTTTAGCTCTAAGGTCTGCAGCAGCAAACACAAACAATTTTACATCAGAGCTTGAGGCTGATCCTCAACCAATGCAGAAGTCTTCCATCTACAGTTCCACAAGTTACGCAGAAGATTAAATGAATCATTACAAATTTCATCCTATAAACTAAAACTACAGGAAGAAAAGAGCTTTACCTCAATTGCCACAATAGCAGCCATAAGCACAATAACATTGCAAGGCAGTATTTACTTGTCTATTTACTTACTTTATTATTAATAGGACGTAAAACATTTAAAAAGCATTCAAACTAAATCAAAAGGTTATTTGAGAATTAAAAAATACAACGTTTCACAGAAGTCAGAACCAATTAGCAGAATGCAAGTTATGTATTTTTATTTTCTGTATTCTTAAATCACTAGGTTATCCAGAGATTAGACAACGGTCCCATAACCTGATAATAGGTTTAGAAAAAAAAGTTAGAGTAAGTTGATAAAAATTCATGCTGTTTTTAAAAAACATCTGAACAGTTACTTATGACCCCTGGGAGTCAAGACTTTCTACAGCCCCTGTAGACAAGTCAAAAATCCCAGCTACCTGACTCATTCTATTTAAATTCAACATTAGAGCTGGAATGTTATATGTTGGGTTTCTTTGTTGTCTTCCATTCAAAAGAAAAAAGCCCTAAAGACAGCATTCATGCGTTAAGACACACACACAGAACCACACAGTGTCATTCTACAATGAGTGATAGATCATGCTCATTCTATGAGGGACAGTATGAAGGAGAGTTTCCAGAACTCTCAGAATTACAGTATTACACTTTGAATAGAGTGCAACTGCTCCTTTTATTATATAGTTTTAACTGCATAAAGTGTATTAAAATTAATTATTTTCTGAATATAGAATTCAACCTAGTCCAGCACGTAAGAAGTGGTTAGAGTAGCTTTCTCACCCTAAAAGACATTTTCTTGCTCTCAGAAGTCATCCAGTAACCATGCCACATTTAGTTTCAGGCCAAGTCCTTGACAAAAAGCCTCAGTGAATTTTCTCCCCCTTTTCCCCAATTGAGATTCAACTGAAAACACCAATTTAAAAAATTGAAGAAAACGGGAACTGTCCATTTTCCAGCACATCCAGTATTTGCCTGCTGCTTAAAGAAACTATGACTATGCCCTTGCATAGCACAAAAAAACCCTGCACCCTCTCCAACCCACAAAACTACATTTTGAAAGTTTATTGCCCTATTTAACCACATCTGACTTAAATTATTAAACTTATTTAAATATATTAGCATATATTGAAACGTTTATAGGATATAAGCAAGCCTATGATTATGATTACCACTCACACACTGAGTAACACAGCATGTTCCTTTTTCTCCAACCTACTTCAATTTTGGAAGTGTACTCAGAGTCATTTCAGTACAAGTCCCCCAGCCAACACTCATACTCTGCAATACAGATTGGGGAAAAAGTGGTAAAGGTATTACTACTCTGCAACAGTAATACCAGGTCTTAGTGTTTGAAAAAAAGAATCAAATTTGTTATTCAGAAAATTAGCATCTTCATTCTTCCAGCAAACACCTACCTTATCATTAGAGTACTTGTGAGTACCTCGTAGAGAAAACCTGACTAGCAAAAGAAACACCCACTTCAAAAGTCTATGTTTTAAAACCATGGCAAGGTACCAATTTTTACAATGGCACAGTCTCTTGTTGAAACACACTAGTAAGCAGAACCTGTTTCTGAAGGTTCTGAAGCAGTCCTTCAGAAAGATTCTCACAGGAAAATGCTTTGATGTCCACAAATCAATACAGACTGAAAATTATCATGTTAAAGGTTTTCTGGCTTACAAATAACATCAAAAATGCTCAACCACCAGTACAGTCACAAGTCACAGGTACTCTGTGCTGTTAACCCTATCACTCTTCTACTTGTGTTGATTTTCATCAGTATGACTACACTCACTTGAGTAAAACCAACTCAGGAGAAGCCGATGTAAAGCCAGATAGCAACAATCACAGGGGAATACAAACTCTAAGAAGAGACTACATACAATAAAGAGCACAACTGCTCTTCTAAAGGTGGTCTCAACTCTGAAAACTAACTCAGGAGAATAATGCCATATGAAGGTGCATCCAAACTCACACACAGCATCCTATACACTGGAAAGATGAAGGTATTTTGAGAATGCACGGTGTACAGAACAAAGGGAACATGACTACAATTCAATTCAAAGGTTGCCTGAAAGGGGAAGATCAACTACACTTGATGCACCTTACGGGAATTAAGCTTTTGTAGAATGGAATACATTCAAATAATATTTTTAGAGAATTTTACCTCTCCAAGTGACTTGGATTTAGTTTCTCAGTAGTCTATATCCAAAAAACTGCAGTAAACACTCCATTTTTTTCCTGAAGTTTTAACTAAAACCACACTCTTAATGTTCTATTCAAAGTTGTGAAATAACTTCTTGTGTTTCTCATCCACATAAGAAGCAGAACCAACAGTAATGCTATGACTTCTTCAAAACGTGTCTTTAAAAAGTTGCAAAAACATCCTTCACAGTTTCAATTTACTCAGTTTGATGACAGAAGGGCTCTCAGCACATCTAACCCCTAGATAGTACAAGGGATTATTGCAAAGGCTGACTACAGAAAACTGCTTTTTAGAAAGTGAAGAGAGTAACAAGATCCTGGCATTTAATTATATTACAGTGTTCCTTCATTGTACACTAAGAAAGACCCCTTCATGTTGACTAGCAAGTAATCTATGGTCTACAACTAACAAGCTTCTGGTTGAGACATATTAACCATGACTACTGCATAAATACACAAAAGCACTTTTATTGCAGCAGAATCTTTTTCCGCTCTGGCTAATAACATTTACAAAAGGATTTTGAGATGTGGCTCTGAATATAATATGGGATAGGGATAATTATTTCCTACAAAGACAAGAAATCAAGCAAATGGATTAAGCCTAACTATTTGTCACCTTCTGGCAAATACACAGAACTAACTGCAAAGCCTGCAGTTATGAAATGATGCAGTCAGTGTTCAGTGAGAACTGAACAATGCAGTTTTAGTGTATGGTCAGGCTCACAGTAGTTCAATCTGTACTCGTGACAAATAATTCCTATCCTTCGCATTAAACTGTTTAATACATATAAACACACAGAGGTCAATGTGATTTTATGCCTGTCGTAAAAAGTCTTAGCCCACCTATTACATTTTCTGCATCCATTTTTCTCAATATTATGTTTCTACTTACTGTCTCCAGTAACTACTCAGTGCCAACACGAGAAAGTTCTTTCATAACACTACTATGTAATCAAATGTCATGATTAATATCACACATCAATTCATAACGCTGTATTCATCTGCACCATGAGTACTACAGAATCTCAAAAAATCACAGAAAAAAGACTGTATCGGCCAAGCTAGGACAGCTATACAAAAGTCAAGAAACAAACAAGAAATACATGGCATAGTGGTGATAATACTTTTAATATCTCATTTGAAAGTAGGGAGCCAAGAGGTAGTGAGTTACTGTACAACTCTAGAAACCACTGAATGGAGATACAAGTAATTCAAACAGCTTGGCTCATTTCAAAAGACTTTGTATTTTTACAGTCGTGCATGAAGTGTGACAGAATACACAGGGAAAGATTTCACATGAAAATTAGTTATGAGTGTTTTTTCTCATGAGTGAGGAGAACAATAAATAAAAAGCATAACAACTATCTTGTATTATCTTACAGCATGCAGTAGAATCTTTCTACAGAAATCAGTTCTTTTCCTTCAAAGCTATCCCAAGCATACACTAATACTGCAGAAGTGAATTAAATTTTAACACTTTCCCAGCTTTAGTGAACTCCACTCTTAAAAGATAGTATCATGAGAGCCTTTGTCCAAGATACAGTTCCTCTAATATCCTACTAGATTCCAGAAATAATGTGAATTGTTTCACAATTTCACTGATTACATACCTGAATATAATCTGAAACTTTCACATCTCAAACCAGTAAATACGTAGATTCAGGACATTTGGACTGTCCTTCAAAAGCACCTTATTTAAGCTACAAGATTCCCTTCTTTTCACCTAATTATTTTCTGCCATTATTCTGTTATTACTTCTAACACTTTTGCTATAAGTCATGCTCTCCAAGATGCTTTTTACAGAATTTCACAAGTGGTTTCAATATGCTAAGTCTCGAGTTGCCACTTTTAGCTGTGCAGACTAGACTACCAACCAATCAAACTTTTAACTTAAACTTCTTCAAATACCAAAGTACCTTAATAGTAAAGAGTAAGGCTTATCCATTCTTTCTAGTATCCGCTATGTAAAATCTTGTATTGCTTTACTATTACTACCGAGAGCTGTTTACACAGAGCTGTTTAAACATGAGATGATCCTTCAATCTGTAAGACTGAGTAAAAATCCAAGCGTTCCTCTACAGATAAACTCACACTTTAATACTAACTAGCAAATTAAGACAACACAGAAAAAACACATACAGGGACTTCAATATTCTACAGCAC